CTAACTTGCCTAATTAACCTAGTTAAGCCTTAAAATGTCACTTTAAGCTGAACACTGGTGTCTTGAAAAATATCTAGTCAAATATTATTTACTGTCATCATGGCAAAGATGAAATAAATCAGTTATTAGAAGTGAGTAATTAAAACTATTATGTTAAGAAATGTGTTGAAGAAGTCTTCTTTCTGTTAAAACAGAAATTGGGGGAAAAATATTTGATAATAATTCAGGAAGGCGAATGAATCTGACTTCAACTGTATACTGTATGCATAAATTAATAACAGTAATTAAAGTTATTCAGATATTACCTTAAATCACTGTTTATACATCCTACACAGGTTTATAACACATTTGCATAATAGACTTTCATTGGTTGCTGGTAAATAACATCAACTTTGACCCTCAAGAGTTAAATTTCTGTAATCGATATCTTAAATTTCTGCTGTAAATCAAATCCACTTGGCTGCACTTGCAAATAATAAATAGTCAAATTAATTCGGTGAAATTGACACCATTGTATACTTTTCGTATTATTGTTTACAAGAGCTGTGAAACAGCTGAAATAGACCATTTTAAGGCATGTAAACAAAAACAATAGTCCCAACGTTTTATATTTTTTACTTTCTATAGCTTTTGAGAATCCAAAAAAGAGCCACATATTGATAAATAATGGTATTGTAGCTGTTTTAACATTAGGTTGTGATTGAATTGCCTCTTTTTACGGTTATGAAATAGTTTGATAACAAGCAGGAAATGTGCATGGGCCAATGACATGACCACATTGAAATAGTCTACATGCTAATGAACGTTTTATTTTCAACCAATCACCACAGACTGGGCCATCTGATCAATCAGATCAGAGTAAAGACTCAAGGAAAGGCAGGATTTAAGAGACTAGACTCCTTAACCAACCATTTCAGATGCAATGCAATAGGGGCTGACGCTGCAACCGGAATTACAGAGACATTTTAAGTGTTTCAGAACTTGGATAAATGTAAAACTATTTTAGAAAAAAATAAAAAAATAAAACTCTATAAAAATCACATTTAAATTATTTTAAATATTAAAATTATGTTAAGTCCCAACCTGCAGTGTTGTGTCAAAAATGACCAGTTTGCAGCTGGTAGGAATTGCATCATAACAGCAGTGCTTCTTCATAAAGTTCATATAAGTTTCGGCATTTGGATCCAGGTCTGGAGGACATAAAACACACCAAATTAGATTGAAGATTGTTTTTTTAGGATATCAACCTAGGGTATCTAAATAATAATGATTTAGGAAATGTGAATTGACATACCTGTGATGTTCACTAAACAGTCCTCATGGCAATCGTCCTGTCAGAAACAAAACAGATTAATAATGGACGTGTGTGTATGTGTGTGTGTGTCAAATCAAATCAATTTTGATGTCACATTATTGTGTCACATTATTTTATTATCACATTATTTATTGTGTTACCTGTGTGTGTGTGTGTGTGTGTTGCAATAGTCACTGAATATTTTATGATGAAATTTACTGAAATTGACAAGTTACGAAAAAAAGGGTTGTATATTGTATATACAACCATATACATTATAATGTGAAGTGGACGCTGCGGATCCAAAGGCAGCTTTATTAAACAGAATGGTCAGGCAAGCGTGTGTGTGAGTAGTGCATGACTAGAACTTGTAGTCCAAAATGGTGGATTTGTAGTCTGTTAGCGAACTGTGTGTTTACCAGCAATCTGCCAGGATTAGATCACTGGTGATTGTGACAATAATGGTTACAGTAAACAAATGTTTGTAGGAAAATGTAAAAAAAAAAAAAAAACAATAAAGTAAAAAAAAAAAAGTAATAGACATCATTAGCCTCATTAGTAGCCATCAACTTTCATCAACTGTAACAACAAAAAAGATATATTTTAAGACAATATTAATTAAAAATGTAACTGAACTGCAAATGTCACATCCATAACGCTGGAATTGCTCATATGATGTATATGATGTAAGTGTAATTGATGTAAACCTTTAGGAAATGTTTTTGGTACATCAAAAAGTGACAATCCAACAAGCTAATCCAGCAACAAAAAACAAAATAGTGCTTAAAATGTCACTAAAATGCAACCTATTTAAACCTCATAATTAAATAGAAAATTAGACGAATAACTAAAAAAAGGTACACTTTTTAATAAAAAGAACCATCCCTTACACCAGGCTGGCTACAGGCCTGGTGTTCATCAACATTTGGTCTGTAAAGAATCTGAATATTTCTAATCAATATTTCTAGCATGCCATAGGCCAGATTAGATTAACATGTGGAAATCTTTATTATTTGAAAAAAAAAAAAGTTTTTCAACATATTTGGTGCAGTTGTAAACACCACTGAATATTTTTGATAGTTAGTCTAAACATTTAAGTAATAAATAATTATTAAAAGCACTTTAAAATCCCCACAATAACAAATTGATACGTTCATTATCACAACATTGCATTGATGAATATCGGCATATTTCTAATGTAGCTACCTATGCTAGCATCATCTTCTCAAAACAGTGTCAGTAAACAGAATAAACATATAAAAAACTGTATTGCTATCTCATATGCCTTGCAAAAATTACTGGGAATCATATGATCCATACAAATATTATGTAATTAAATTATAATTGGTATTAGATATATGTCGTAGTACTAATACTTACCTATCAGTGTAATTTAAAAGCGCTATTTTTTGCTTAGATTTCTTGAAGTAAATCCTCTCACCAATAAAAACAAGGTTATAACACAGTAACACCAACGCACTTTTTAGTAAATAATGCGAAAACAAAACCATGGTATTACCCTGAGAGCACTTCAGCACTGTGTTTACGTTGAGCTCAGTCGTTTTAGCCAGTTTTATTCCCTTACGTATTTATTTTAACCCACGCATCAGACGCTTGTTTACACTCGCTAGAGGTTATATGTACCTACTGACTCTTACCTGCGTGCCAGTGTCCATTTGTGCGTGTGCACGGTCGAGCTCCTCCGTGCGCATCTCCGCGTCTTGCTGCGCATGCTCGCTGCCCCCGCGCTATATTAGGATCAATTGAGGTCGGTTATTTAAGACGCGACGCTACAGCGACTGGCAGACAAAGCGAAGAGAAGACTGCTTATTTTAGGATGCCGCTGCCTGTACGAATCCGGGTAAACGTGGTGTAAAAGTGTCTGGTTTGACACTGACAGACAGCGCGAGAGTTGGCATGTAAGAGCGCCCGCAGGTTGTTATAAATATAGCGCGTGACCTGCATGATATGCGCGCGACCGCCCATTCCTTCAGGAAGCCTCCAAAATTAACTCACCAGAGACCAGCTGGGAATTTAATATTGCAGAAAATGTTTAGTCGTTTAAAGATTTTTTACTTTAAAATTTCATATTTTCAGACTGAAGTTTTGCACACACTTTTGTAATATTAGCCTATTTTATCGTTCATAAGTGTGATTGAGGTTTCCGGTCGTTTCATTAGTTAATCAAACTCAGTCTGGAGGTTATGAATATCAGTATACACTTTATTGGAATATTTTTAAAACAAAATACTTTTTTGGCCCTTATAATGTACACTCACCACCGGCCAATTTATTAGGTACACCTTACTAGTACCGGGTTGGACCCCATTTGCCTTCAGAACTGCCTTAATCCTTCATGGCATAGATTCAACAAGGTACTGAAAATATTCCTCAGAGATTTTGGTTCATATTGACATGATAGCATCACGCAGTTGCGATTTGAGAGTTTGAGATTTGTCAGCTGCACATCCATGATGCGACTCTCCCGTTCCACCACATCCCAAAGGTGCTCTATTGAATTGAGATCTGGTGACTGTGGAGGCCATTTAAGTACAGTGAACTCATTGTCATGTTCAAGAAACCAGTCTGAGATTATTCACGCTTTATGATATGGGACGTTTACCTGCTGGAAGTAGCCATCAGATGCTGGGTACACTGTGGTCATAAAGGGATGGACATTCAACATCGCCTGTATAAGAATTAATAGCATTTAAACATATTTCCAAATTTAATATTAATAATTAAAATAAAAAATAATTCCTAAAATGTTGAATCTAAAAAAACCTTTTTCAAGATTTAATAAGTCTTTTGAGTCTCCAGAGTGTGTCTGTAAAGTTTCAGCTCAAAACACTCATCAGATTTTTTATTATAGCTTTTAAAAGCTTGTAATTTTCAGCTTGTAGCTGTAGGTGCCTCTCCACCTCAGCTGCATCGGCTGACAGACATGATAGAAGCAGATCTCACATAACGTTTGTGAGAACAAAAAACTACAGTAAGAACTTTCCCAATGATTATTTGATGTATTTGTTGTGGAGTTAATTCAAGCCTTTCTGTGATGATTCACAATGTTATTACAAAGTTCATGCAAACACACACAGCGCACACATTTAACTTTGCACTGCAAATGTGACAGGATACATGTTAATGTACAAAATAAACCTGATGTGACATCCACAAACTGGGATTGCAGCACCTTCTTTTATAATTTTGCTGACATGTGCCTTTGGTGATAAAGATGGTAAAAAAATAAAAGAAAAAGAAAAAAAAGAAAACGCTGTAATTGATAACAAACATGCACTGCTTTACAAACGTTTTAAACTTGCCTTGATCACATTTGATGATGATTGATGATCACAGAGAGCTGAACAGATCTTGTAGTCCCACTTGCTTTGCGCACGTCCTGTCTTGTTGATATGGTTATACTACTGAGCCAATTAATTCAATTAATTCAGTGGGCAGGGTAACCGCACTCCTATGTCACGTTGCGGTCGGCTTCAATATGGGAGGGATTCAGATCCTATTTTAACGTCAGGAAATTAAAAAAAAAAGAGACTTATTGTGTTTACATCACCCCAATAAGACTGTGGACACACTATACCTAGACAGTTTTGTTCAAACAGCATACAAAAGATGATTTTAATCATAGGTGCCCATTAATTAAAAAATATTGTAAAAAAGAAAAAAAAAACACACCAAAAAATCATGATTGAGATTGAGATGTTTTTATTACTTTCACTGCTGCAGCTATATGCTCTTTTGTAATCTCTATACAAAATGTACAAAATCAGTACAGGTGAAAATAAAACATGTTAACAGACCAGAGAAGTCCACAGATTATGCTGAATATGACATGTAAGAGTCATCCTGTATTAAAGGGAGTTTTTATATCAGTCTCAATATTTCATTTTCTTACAAAACATAAAGCCAAAAATAAACTCAGCAAGTCAAGCATTGTGTATTAACCCAAATATAGCCCGTTCAAATGATCAAGGATATCAACAAATGAAATATGATAACTAAAGCTTTCAATGATGAACGCTTTGAGGATGAGGTATGGCATCAACTATTTGACAATTAGAAACCTTACGGATTTCTTAAACTAAGCTGTGCATTGTGCAACTGATCCCTTTAAGACTCTCTTCCACGTCCTCTCTAAACCCAAACAGACAAAAACCAGGCTTAAAATCCAACTTGAAAGCAAAGGCCGTCACAGGAAGGAACTTCAAAACAATACAGCCCTCCTTCAGTACGTCAGCATAACACAAAAGGCTAGGCGATCGATCCAAAACAAAAACACCGACTTCAGTGTGTAAGAGAAGACCCTTTTGTCAACTTATGTAACAACTTACCATTATTTTTATTTTACTTGGATGACCTGGAGGTTTCATATAACACCTGAAGGCAACCAAACTAACCCATAGCAGAAAAAGGAAGAAGTCAAAGCCTGCTTGTTTACTTTGCATTAGCGCGCACTGCATCACACACGTCAAAACTCAAACTGTCAATCATCATCGTATGCCACTTCAGAAATAAACGTCCTCACCACATACTGATATCCCTCAACTATCTATATGGCTGGTTCATAAACAACAACAACAACAAGGAAACCAAGGGTCGAGTTGACTGCATATGTAAACTTAGCTGATTTCAATTTCCTATGAGACTTGTTTAGCCGGGCATGAGAAGGGATGGCGATTTCCCAAATGGCAGAGGAGTCTGTGGGCAACATGGACGCCTTTCGAAGGGTGGCAAGGAGCTGAGATGGGCGTCTGGAAACATGGGGCCAGTGCTAAACGGTGCTAACCCAAGCCAAAGTGCTGAGAGACGGGCATACCACGGAGCAGAAAGAGTCGCCGAGGCGTTTTGAGCCATTGCGTACTGGTGCTCGTGACAGATTACTTCTGATGCCAAACAGTCTTGAGGCTGGATGTCCAGCGTGGGGTCTGAATAGGAGAGAGTGGAGAGGATGGAGCCCCAGAGACAGAGCACCATGTTGGATGAAGAGGTAGAACAGTGCTGGTCTGGTCCGGCAGTGGTGGGCCGCGGTTTCAAGCTTTCGTTGGTCAGGATGCAGCAGTGGAGGTTTGAGGTTTGGCGCGGTGAGTCCGGCAACAGCTCAGGGAGGAGTGCTGGTGTCTGAATGGATGTTTGCTTCACTGGCTCAAAGTAAGTGCGGCAAGAGTTGGGGAGACGTCCGAGCTGGTGGATGACGGTGGAGGAAGCGATGAGACCAGCTACGCTAGTCAAGTACAGGAGACCCAACATACAGGTAACCTGGAGGGAAAATAAAGCAATTTTTTTTTTTTACAATGCTTGAACAAGAGAATGAGAGTTAAGCCTGGTTTATACTTCTGCATCAAGTGATTGACGTGACCCACAGCGCCTGCCAGCTAGCGTTTCGGAAGTGTTATTTCAGAGCAACACAAACAGCGTGCAGAAGCATAAATGCACGGTAAAGCAGGCGATGTGAGTCACGCCAATCAATCGACAGAGAAGTATAAACCAGCCTTAATACTACCACTAACACTACCGCCACCACCATCAGCGATAATACAATAATAATAATACATAAATAATAAAAAAACATAACAAAAATGTATAATTAAAATAATTGATAAAGAAATTAAGTAGCAGGGGAGATGAAGTTCTCAAAATATGAAATCAAAATCCTCTAATAAAGTATATAAATATCTTGCGTTTTGACTTTTTTTCTCTCTTAACATCAGATATATCTCACTTTATTCTTTAAACACATTAACCATAATAGAAATAAACCAAACCATATATAAAGGGCAGACTTTATTTAAATATATGCAATGCTGAAGCTAAGCCAGTATTTGCTGATAATTCTTTTCAATCTTGACATCAAAATAGGTGCAATATTTGGGCCAAATGAGATTTCAAAGGAAAAGAGTTTCAGCAAATTCCTACTGTTTGGCTTTTGGCAAATTTGAATACAGTACACACATCATACAGACTACTTCTCTGGTTTATGAATCTAGTCTTATCTGTTCAGTTGAGATGATTCACCTTGGTAAAGTGCTGGTATATAGCTGATAGGGCTTCCCTCCAATTGAGGTTCTCCAACAGAACACAGAGATCTGTGTAGGTGAACCAGCCTCGCTTCATACCTTGCCGCTCTGCAATACTATGAGCACAAAAGCCAATTAACATGTCTCGGTTACATTGAAACTCATAACACCATAATGATATAATGAACAAACAAGCAGGTCTGAGGACCTTGAACTTTGTTACATAACTCAAAACTTAAATGAATTGTATTACTAACACAAATCACACTGGTGAACAGATTAGCCTGAAAAGGGCAACAGCGTTTAGGTTTTTCTAACTTTTTTAAATCTCATTCTTTTGTTGAACACAAGATACTCTGAATACTGATGGAAAAAAGCAGCCAATGACATTAATTAAAAAAAAAAAAAAAAATATATATATATATATATATATATATATATATATATATATATATATATATATATATATACACTATGTGTGTCAGCTGTTTTTTTTTCCAATGTTCTTCAGTATATAATGTTCTTTTGTGTTCAAAGGAATAAACGCAAATAGGATTTGAACAAGTAGAGGATGTGTAAATGACAGAATTTTCATTTTGGGTGAACTATCCAGTTGCAAAACAAGTAAATACTCATGAGGATGTTATTAAAAACAAAACATCCTTGATCTTTTGAAAAGAAAAACAAAAAAGGTATGCCGTGACCCCTTAAAGGCCAGAGGGAATGTTAACTGGAAATGTAATTTGAGATGCACTAGTATGAGGCATGTTAACTAACCTGCTTTCAACCTGACTAAGGACTTTAAAGAAGTCACTTGGTTCAGTGAAGAGGTTCCACTCCTGCAAATATACAACATCTCGTTTTGAATCACTTTCCACAGAAAAAAACAAACGCAAAACAACCTTCAGTACTTTGGAAGGGTGGAAGGTCACACTTACAATCGCATTGAGGAAGTTCATCTCCAGAGTGTTGACAGTCTGAACGTCCAGCTTGGCCGCAGTACCCCATTCATCGTTGAAAACCTCCTCCTCTTCTCCTTCATCATACAAATATTTACTGGCTACCATCTGGACAAATTTACAGAAATAGAGAGTCTTGTTGATTACTTCATGTTTCTTGCACCTTTTCTAAAGCCAAATTTAAGCATTTTTCAGGTGCGTTTCCAACAGAAGTTTGGGGAATTACATATCTACATGCATGCACACTTTTCATCACATTATAACAGATATGGACAGGCAATATGGACTTAAAACTGTATCACAATATTTTCTTGTAATTATTACAATAATGATATAATCAACAATAATTTATATGCATCCATTGCGAGAGAATAAAAAGTTCAGTATCTTCACAGAAAAGCATTCATTCTTGTGTTTTATGTTCTGAATATAAGGATTTCTCCACCATTGGATGCTTTTAAATCTAATTTAAAGACTTTTTTTTTACTCTCTTGCCTTTGAGTGATGCATGCATGCTATTTTGTATCTGTATTTCAGTTTATACATATAATTTAGTTCTTTTATAATGCAAGTTTATATTTTATTTCAATTATTGTAAAAGTGTTTTGAATTGACGATGGTTGTGTAAAATTGTACTCTATAAATAAAAGTTTTCCTTGCCTTTTTGTTTTTACTTTTTATCAGCAAAGAGGATGAAGATAATAGAAATTAATATTGATTGCCGTTACAAAGTGAATTTAGAGTAAAAGTATGTTAGCAAATCCGTGTTTGTAAACAGGCTCAATAAAAACCCATTTCAAAAACTAATTATAGGTTTTAGTATTATTACAATGAGTCAAATTTTTTTTATTGTGGGTAGAATATTTACTGGTATTTTGCAATAAGATATCGCCCATCCCTGACATCAGATGCTGTTTGTTATAGTATTATATAGTATCGCATTTTAAAGAATTTTTGATAACATGTTTGCCCCCCAAAAAGCTTGAAAGTTGATTTATCAAGATTTCATTTATATATTTACTTCTCACCCATTTAGTAAAATAAATGACTATGCATTACAGCAACATCTAAAACTGACCTATTTAAAAACGTCTACATACCATTGATATCAAAAAGAGGTCTGAGGAGGAGATCTGTTGCAGGTATTCCGGGTTTCTGTGTCGCAGTCTTTCAATGTATATCAGGGCCAGCATCATAGCACAGGGAGAGATACATGCTTCCCTGTAACAAAAATAGGGTGTGTTGTTACTCATGAGAATATTCATCAAATCTAGTTGTAGCACAATGACACAGTTTTGAAGTTAAACACACCTGGCCACGTGTGCAGCGTATTTCTTGTGGAGCTTCCTAATGGGACTTGGGGCAGACTTCTGGAGCAGTTCTACAGCAATGTCTGGATGAAAAAAAACAATAGGTGAAGTGAAAACTATATACTAAATAAAATACTAAATACTGCACTATATATTAAATCTAACAGTACTGTGAGGCAATGATGTAACTTTCATCTATAATAAAAAGCCGCAATCTAGAAAACAACTATTAATAGCAATGCAATTCAATCATACACAAATGCTTCATTATGACACTAATAATTATTTTGTTGCAACAATTAAAAATAATTTATTTGAAATAACTAAATTACATTAGCTTAATTGCATAATGTTTTATAAAAAAAAAATAAATGTGTAACATCCAAATATAATTGATGCACACTAAAATGCACGCTAAGTTTTTATTTATACTGTTAGATGCTTAACCGTTCCTGGGTGGCTCGCCAATGTACTAGATGACTCTAATACATAAAATAAGTAGGTTGACCAAAGTTCTTATGGAGAAAAGACTTTATTGAAGACAGTGAATATTGCAGTAACTTTAACCAAAGTACTGTCTATGAAATACTACTTTATAACAAAGGATTTGACCCCCCGGAGATCACCAAACTGGTTGGGTTAGGTCACAACACTTGACTTTATTGTAGGCCATTTGGTTCACACCTTTTCAGATTCAGATACTTGTTTGCATATGAAGCAAGCCATACAATCTATCAACACTAAAGAAAAGCACAGTTTGATGCTACACCAGTTACAATTAAAATGTCTATTATAACACTAATGAAGTTGTATTTTAGTATCCTTTTAATTTTTTCATTTACTGTAAATTGAGTGCCTTGGACTTAGGATTTTGTTGATTATCTTTATAATTTTTGACACATTTAATTACCCCTAAAACACTTTTTTATAGTATTTATTTTTAATTATTTTGATTTGCATTAGTTACACCAAATAAATAAATAAACAAACATAAATAAAACAGCAGACATAATAACACTACAATGAATCTTTAAATCTGAATTAAATTTAATTTAAAACTAATAAACAACTTGCATACAGTAGCTTGAGTACATAAGCAACAACTCTCAACCAGTACTTTTACAATTATATTGAAAACAGCAAAATGCTCTTATTCCTCTTATTATTCTAATGTAAACCAGTGAAGGACAGGCTAAGGATATGATATTGCAATAGTTGTTTTTAAATGCGACAGCCAAGGGCTATCGAGGACTTCAAGAACAACACATACACTAAATACACAAATACACTTCCTTAAACGTACACAGACATAAACTATATGCTATAAAACTGCAGGTTAACTATGTTTTTATATAACAGCTAGGCTCACCCGGATTTTTAGCCATTAATTCTGTTCATTTACATAAGTAAATGTGTGTAAATCTAAATTTATTCAGTTTTTTACTTAATTTCAGTAATATTATTGACTAATGTGAAAATGTTCATCTGATTTATGTACAATGCAGTTTGTACAGTAATAATTTCTGTCTTTTACTAGATATATTATATGACAAACTTGCTTTATATACCAAATAAAGTCAATCTAATTGGATTTGCATTTTAAACATTAAATAAAAGTTTAAAAGACTTTTTATTTTATATATTAAGATTTAGTTCTGATACTCCCAAAAAAATTCGCAGACACCTGCAGACTTTTACCAAAATTCTTAGCAGAAATAGCAAAAAACATCAACACAAGATTCCGTCTGGCCCTAATAATAACTTTTATTTGATTGTAGGCATGGGACGATAATCATTTCCAAGGTATACCACAGTTTTAAAACCACCCATATTTTCTGCTATATTCCTACAGTATGTGTCAGACTTTTTTATTTACATTTGTTTTTAGCTTTAAGGACAACAGTATCTCCCGCATAAAATATATCCTAGATGCTATTTTAAATCGCAAAGAAATCTGTGTTTTTGAAACTAATGAATACAGCAGAAGTCAATGATTCATTTGAATTATTTAGCCTGACATGTTTACTGCTCCAAAATATTTGAAATGTTTCCTAAAATAAAATATATTGTGTTCAAAGTAAAAAAAGGTTTGTTTTTAACCCAGACATTTAAAAATAATATATTTAAGAGCAGTGGTGATAATCCCGTAAAACTGTGATACTTTTATTCAAGGTTTTCATACCATCAGAATCTTATACTAGCCCATGCCTATTTTTAAATTAAGTTGACTCACCTGTCATGGGGCATGATAGAGCATCCAGCGTGCTGTCAGAATCCAGACCATAATACAATCGTTTCCTCACTCTCTCTGACCACTGCTCATGTTCAGGCAGAAACTATAGATGATCACACAAACAACGCAATGTTGAGTCAAACACATGCAATCCTCCAAGCAAAGTTAATACTGCTTTACTAACCCACGACACTTCTCTACAAACACCTAGCTATTCCCTAAAAGATAGAGGTAAAGTTGGTTTAATATTCGCACATTCGTTCAGTAACAACTTTTGACATGCGTTTACCATGGTACTTTGAATATTGGGTCTGAAATCACATGCAAGCACGACTTTAAAACAACATAAGCAGTATTAATTTGACTGAACAATGTTGTAACGTCATTGGCTGTTAATATGATTTCACTGTTTAGTATTAGCAAAGAATAATTTTCTTATATCCGAATGTGTATATAAAAATAACTTTACCTTAATTTTAAAAGAGATATTTTAATAGTTAGACTAACGTTACTTTATAATTATTTTAACAATAACATTACGTTAACGTACTTGTGGTGTTTTCCTATCACACCCAAACATTGGGCCTCTGATGAAGCCTCGAACTAGATTAATTCTCACTGACAACAAACTGTCATTGTTTTACAGACTGAAACAAAGCAGGCATTTGTTTTAGTTTTGAATAATACTAATGTCTTCCTAATATTATTGGCTTTTATGAAGGACGCCATGGAATATGGATTAAAAGTTCGTGCGTAGCGTTACGATTGTTTGGCTGGAGTTTCGGAGTCACCCGCCAAAACAGCACAACTAGACCAAAAATCACTAGAGATACTGACCGTAAACTCCTGAAAGTCCGAAAAGGTGAACGTCCGCTCGTCAAACAAATCGCCAAAGTCCATTTTGGCCCTCCAAGATATATCTTAAAAGACTAAAAACACAGAAAGGCCGAAGGAAGGCGTCGTGAAGCGCCCTCTCTCTGCCGCAACAGCTCCAATGCTACCGATTCACAATCACAGTTTACGCCAGTCAATGCGCTCAGTCTGCAGCTCAGTTGCGTAGAAATGCGTATACGGCAGTGTTGGTTATGAAAGAGGCGGGTAAGTTAAACATAAAACACATTCATGGTGTCGTATTATAATACATAGCATTAAACAATAACTCATCGTTTTCTGTTTTATTCAAAGGCAAGTAATGATTTTCATAAATACACAGCGAAACACTTATCGTTCTACTATGGAACGTGTTACTTTTCTCAACGCTTACACTTATGGACCAATAACAGTAGTTCACTAGCAATCGCTGAGGCGTTAATTAAATCTTGCGCAAGAACATCTAAAGCTGCATGACAAGACCTTCTAATTGGGAGAACAGTTTAAAAAATGTATTTATTTTATATGAAATTATTTCCAGTAACTCTAAAAGCCCCGGAGACTTGATGGGCATCCTCATTTGTGGCCGTCAACTGCCCTCTACAGGAAAGTAACATTAACGTCTCTAATTTATTCCGACAGCGCTTGTTTACTTTTCCTTTTATGGCGTTGTCTTGCATCCAGTTACGTAAACTGTTTAATATTCACGATCTAAATTTTCACCGTAATTATTTCAATAATAATGTAGCTATGTGAGTTTTTTCCTTCAGTATGTTGTACTTTTACTGATATTATATATGCCATGTTCTATTTTACTACACATTTTTATTCACTGCATAATTGAATTAACCACAATGTAATAACACCAATTAACAAGTAACAAAAAGAAAGAACTATCATTAAACGTTTACTGCAATTTACAGAAAGGTTGACAGTAAAATGTAATTCTATGAAACAATAGTTTATATGCAACAGTGGTCTCACACTCAATTCCTGGAGGGCCACAGCTCTGCACAGTTTAGCTCCAACCATCTCCAACTCACACCTGCTTAATAGTCTATAGCAGTCTTGAACGCCTTGATCAGTTGGATCAGCTGTGTTTGATTTGAGTTGGAGAAAAACTCTGCAGACCTGCGGCCCTCCAGGAATCCAGTTTGAGACCTTTGATATTCAATAAATAATGTCAGGAATATTTAGATTAACAATCATTAGATGACCCATTAACTGATCACATTGCAATTCACTTTCATACAGACACCAAAATGAGACTCTTTCACCAATTTATTTAAAACACATACAAAATATGAAGGCAGTTTACATGTGATATGTGTTTAATGTACAAAAATCTCAGCACAGAATACAGAATCTATGCAATCAATAATAACAGAAATGCAATTATGTCTGTCGCAAAGTGAAATGTAATTCCTTCTTGCTTTACTATACAATAAAAAACCTTCCCAGGCTTCATAAATTCTTTATTGAGTCAATTGTTTCACCGAAGGCAAATTCTGAGACTATTTCATACATTAAAAACCTACCAGAAAGCTTCATTTCATAAAAAACCGACATACATGGACTTAAAAACTCATCCCACTGGCTCATTTCAACCTTGTCCCCGAGTTTAGTGTCATTACTGTAAGCTGTTTTTCCCTTTATATTAACGGATGACGAAGAACAACATATTTATTGCACCTAAGCACTGAAAACCACTCCAGGCAAACAGCATCTGACCTTTAAATACACAAATGATTAAGAAAATAAACAGTCTGACAAATATGAGCACTTATTATTCTGATTGAAAATGTTTTTTCCCCTCTGAATATAACTTAAGTCCTAAACTTAATCTTAAACTTAGCCTCCAAAGTATAGTATTTACTCTTATTTAGCTAGACCAGAAGAAAAAAAAAAAGTCAATTTAAAAATCAAATCAGGCCATTATAATACATAGTACAATTGCTTTTAGTTGTAGGAAGTATTTACATTTACAATCAGTTTTCAGAAGCTCCTTAAGCATATCAGGAGCATCAGTGCAACTTAAATCACTTAAATAGTGAATTTAAATAGACAACAGCACTGTACATTCATCCTTCTAAAGTGTCAGCGATGTATTGTCTTAAAGATACAGCAATGGAGGGATTTATACATCATGTGATTCTCTCATAACATACTGAAGTCATTCTAACATATTAAGGTCTCCCACTCATTTTCCACAAAGTGAATTTATAATTTTATATACATGAGTGGGAAGACTTAATGTGTTATATTGACTTAAATATGGTATACTTGCACTGCAAACATGCTTTTCTTACTTAGATTTCTTGTCTTGTTTATGGTCCAAATAACTAAAAACTCTTAAATCAAGAAGCATTTTCTAGACAAGCAAATAACATCGTCTTGTTTTCAGAAATAATACGTCAAAATTGAGTGAGTTTTCCTTAAAACAAGCTAAATAATCTGCTAATGGTGTAAGCAAAGTAAATGCATGTCAAAATGAAAGACTAGATTATTCTGCTAACCCTATCGGCAGATAAATTAGCTCGTTTTAATAAAAAACTCACCTAATTTTGGCGTAATATTTTTGAGAAACAAAACAATATTTTTGGCCTATATAAAAATCCAAATCCAAACTAAAAGGGCTCAGCGGTAGCTTAAATAATGCATCTGTGCTCTTTGGGTAAAGGATTCATCAGAATAAACAGCGAAAATCAGTCCAAGGCACTTAAAATATGTGGAAAAAATATTATAAAGCCTTTATTGACATGGCTATTCCTTAAAACTGCACCTACACGTTTCAGCAAATGTTGACCTTGTGTTCAATATATTATTCTAGTATTGTTTAGATATTCTAATAAGTCATGAGACCGTAACATTTAAAAGAAACTCCAGACGCACATGATCACTGTTACCCTGATGAAGGCACTTGTTTTGGCGAAATGTGTAGGCGCAGTTTTAAGGAATAGCCATGTCAATAAAGGCTTTTTAATAGTTTTTACACCTTTTTTGAGTGCCTTGGACTGATTTTTGCTGAATATTTTTTTGCGTGCCTAGAAAATGCTTCTTGATTTAAGAGTTTTTAGATATTTGGACTAGAAACAAGACAAAAAAGCATGTTTTTTTTTGCAGTGTATAAATAAATCTCTACACAATTAAAGGGATAGTACGCACAAAAAATGATAACTTGTAGTTACTTTACTCTCCCTTTGGAAATAAATTAGGAAAAAAAAAAGTTTGGTGAGGCTGTGGATTAATTGTGAAAATCTTGTAAAAATGTTCTGCTAATTATTCCTTTACAAAAATGTAAAAACCCCAAAATCACTGAAAAATGACAATTTATTCACCCACAGGTGGTTTCAAACATGTTTGATTCTTCTGTTGAACACAAAAAAAGCTATTTTAAAGCATGTTAGAAACCGGTAACCATTGACTTCCATAGTAGAAAAGACTAATTCAATGGAAGACAATGGTTACCGGTTTCAAACATTTTTCAAAGTAACTTCATTAGCATTCAACAGAAAAGAAACTCAGACATGTTTGTGAGACGTGAAGTGTAAATAAATGATGAAAGAGTTTTCAGTTTGGGTGAACTATCCCTTTAAAAACTGGCAGCAAACCAAAAAAAAATCTAACAATTAAAAATCGGACATGCCTAAACAGCACTATTTGAGCTTAAAAATGCACATAATACCGGCGTATATTGCGATTCCCTTATGTCTAGTGTCCCCTGTGTGCTGTAGTGGATGTCTGTGGCTGTAGTTTCTCCGATTTTCTGTCTTTAGTCTCCGAGTCAGAAGCTGAGTCTGAATCCTGCGCCTGCTGCTGTTTCTGCCACATGTCAGAGTAAAGGCCGCCCTTTGCCAGCAGCTCTTCATGCCTACGACAAACAACAGCACTGGACTTTAAACCACAGAGTTCATGTATTAACCCGTATCAAGATTGACTGTGGATTAAGTATACTAGCACTTTAAATCAACTCACCTTCCTCTCTCCACAATCTGGCCATCACGAAGAACAAGAATCACGTCAGCTCCGATGATAGTTGACAATCTACAATATGCACATCAATGATAGCATCATACAATAATAAAGTCACTATATAACAAACTAAGAATTAAAGGTCCCATGAAATGTGTTCGTTTTAAGGATACCTATAAGCTAGTGCAGGGTTTCTCAAACTTTAGTTAACAATGCCAGTCACTCATGATGACCCTTAATATCCTCTGAGGTGGTTATGAATATACAAACCTTGCGCGCAATGGTGCACACACACCAATTGGCCCAAGTCTATTTATCGTTTAATTTTGGACAATGCAACTCAGAGATCATCCTACATGTTCAGTTTTTTATTTACGCGAGTGCCTTAAAGGTGTCAGAAAGTTTAACCTGATGCCATGAAATCAATCTGCTGCATCTGATCCTATTGCTGTGTTGAATGTAATGACCCAGGAGGTCGCAATCCAATAAAAAAATTTGCATGCTTTTTTTTTAATGCAACTATTAGCTACGATTAATTCCTGTAAGTTATGGATGTAATATGGCCATCATAGTAGTTAAATAAAAAGATTTTTGTAAATCACCTAGCAACTCTCCCTCTGGGAGGTTCCGACCCCCATTTTGGGAACCACTGCGCTAGTATGTTCCAAAACAGTGACAAAATTCACATTTAGAAGATATAACCATCCAAAAGCTTGTAGTTTGTCACTTCCAACTAAATGGATCAACATTTTTTATCACGTCATTTACATACTTCAGTTTCTTATCAAATCGTCTGACCAATCAAATGCTCTCTAGTATGCCCCGCCCCCTTAAAGATGAATCTCATTTGCTTTTCATTTGATGCGCTTCAGCACAACCACTCACCCTGGCACAGCTAAACTAAAGTAAAACTAGTTTAGCAAAACACTATTGGCTGGTTTGTTGTTTTTTTTATAAAGGGGAGGGGCTACTGTATGCCTCGCCCTCTCTTCATGTGTCAGTAGAGATTAAGTCAAATTTTTGGATAATGAAATGCACATTTCAAAGCACTTTACAAGACCTTTAATGAAGCTGGTTTTAGTGAAAGCATGACTTAATTCATTTGTTGTTTACCTGTGTGCCACAACAACTGTGGTTCTGTTGGCGCAGACTTTAGCCAGCGAGGCCTGAATGTTTCGCTCAGTCTGAGTGTCTAGAGCAGATGTGGCCTGCAGGTAGAGGATGGAGGAAAAAGATTATGAAGAAAAAAGTACTTTAAATTTTGACAAAATTAGTGGTAGACCAGACTGATATTTTGTTGAACTTGAAAACCCCTTACTGTTCACATGTTTACTATTTCTTTCTAATAATGTTGGGTAGCCTTTCCCACTTATATTTTATTGGTCAAAAATAACATGTTAAAAACATGCCATCAACACGGGTTGTTGTTTATGAGAATAACGAGAATTATTCATTCATTCATTTTCTTTTCGGCTTAGGTCCCTTCATTAATCTGAGGTCGCCACAGCGGAATGAGATCTAGACTTTACCATCAACATGCTGATTCATGCTAGACTCATGCTAACAACCTGCTACTTCATGCTAGCAAGTGGCAAAATGCTGTATAATGTACAAAAATTAAGGCTAAACATATGATAGCTTGGACATTTATGCTAAACTATGCTAGCAACATCCTTATTCATGCTTTGCAAAGTCAAAATCAAAGTTATGACATTATCAATGCTCCTTAATTTATTTATTATGTGAAAACCCTGCTATTTCATTCAAATTATGTTTGGTAGCCTTATCCACTTATATTTTATTGGTCAAACATCATACATATTAAACATAAAATATGCACAGACTAACATTCATTTAGTTGTATTAAATATCTTATTTTAAATTCAATGCAGGTTTAAATTAGAACCATTATAAAAAAAACACACTAGAAACATGCTAACAACCTGCTAATTCATGCTAGAAAGTGACAATATGCTGATTCAAGCTAGAAACATGCTAACAACCTGCTAATTCATGCTAGAAAGTGACAATATGCTGATTCAAGCTAGAAACATGCTAACACCCTGCTAATTTATGCTAGCAAAGTGACTGATTCATGCTAAAAACATGCTTACGACCTGCTACTTCATGCTAGCAAGTGGCAACATGCTGTAAAATGTACAATAATTAAAGCTAAAGATATGATAGCTTGGCAATTCATGCTAAACTATGCTAGCAACATCCTTATACATGCTTTGCAAAGCCAAAATCAAAGTTTATTTAATATAAATACAATTTATTTTTGGTGAAAACCAGTATAAGCACTGTTCTTTGGATTCTTTACAGATTGGAAGGTTCAAAAATAAAAACCGATATAAAATTACAATTAGAAACCTCTTGCCTGTCAGCTGCTGAAAACAAATAATAAATAAAATTCTTTAAAGGAGACCTACAGTATTATGTCTCTTTTTACAAAAATAAGTTTCTGATGTCCCTGGAGTGCATATGAGAATTTTCAACTCAAAATACCCCACAAATAGTTTGTATAACTCTTTGAAACTGTTCGAAACAGAGGAACTGAGTCGTTTTGGTGACTTTTGCTTTAAATTGAAATGAGATTGTGCTCCACGCCCTTTTTTTTAAAAGAGGGTGGAGCTATAAATGCATAATCATAGCAGCAGATTCAACACTCAAATGACAGACGGCTGCTTCTCACTCAGGGCTGTTTATGCTAATGAGGGAGAGATCATCACTAATGGGCAGGGCTTCCCCCTCTGATGACACGTACAAAGGGAGAATGTCAATCAAAGTGTTCCTGCAGACTGTTTTTATCAAGTGTGATTATAAAAACAGAGTAAATCAATCTTTGCCATTAGAAGCTGGTTATATTCACACACTGTTGCCACACAACTGTGTTTAAACCCCTTACAAAAGTGATTTTTACATAACAACCCCCCTTTAAAACCTTACTCCTTTCCGACTTTTGAACAGTAGTGCAATTCAAAAGCATACTTAATAAAACAATCCCAAATGTCTTAACAAACATCATAAAAACTACATTGAAAAATCAACTCATTCTAAAAAGACAATGTATTGCATTCTCCCATAATGCATTTGTGATTGTACCTCATCCAGCAGGATGATTTGCGGTGCTTTAAGGATGGTGCGAGCGATGGCGACTCTCTGCTTTTCTCCTCCGCTTAGCTTCAGCCCTCTCTCACCCACCTGAGTCTCATAGCCTACAAAAATAAACCAATTGTGAATCAAATGAAAAGAAAAAGGCATACAAGATCTAAATGGTGCTCTCTGTTCAGTTTCTTTCTTCAGCTGAACACAAAAGAAGATGTTTTTAAGAAAGCTGAAAACCTGTAACCATTGACTTCCTATGTACTTGTTTTTTCAACTATGGAAGTCAATGGTTACAGGTTTCCAGCTTCCTTCAAAATATCTTCTTTTGTGTTTAACAGAAGAATCAAAATCAAATGAAGGGAGATTAAATGTTGACAGAATGTTCAGCTTTGGGTGAACTAACCCTTCAATGATCTCAAATAATCTGAGCACATTTATTATTCAAATTAAACTTCGATTTTTCAATGACAACAGTTTAATTGTGCTTTCAATGCTGCAAAGTCAACACAAAGTGGTTCTCACCATCTGGAAAGCCTATGATTTTGTCATGGATGTCGGCGGCGATTGCAGCTTCCTCCACTTCCTGGTCAGTGGCCGTGACTCGACCGTAGCGGATGTTGTCTCGAATGTTGTCATTAAACAGGACCGTGTCCTGAGGGACAACACCGATGTGAGCGCGCAGAGACGACTGCTTCACCTGAGACAAAACCACATGCATGAATGACCATGCTTTGTACAAAAAAATGTGAAGAATAAAGTAAAAATGAAAAACCATTCTTTCACAGAACACACCATTAGTAACACTAAGTACTTGATTAAAGTAACACTAATTGCATATTTTGGTGTTCTTTTTTATTCCTAAGAAAATCTCTTACTTCTTCATTCATTCGTTCATTAATTTTCCTTCAGCTAACTCTCTAAATTTATCAGTGGTCACCACAGTGGAATGAACTGCCAACTATTCCAGCATATGTTTCACGCAGCGGATGCCCACAATACTGGGAAACACATATACACTCACAATCACACACACACTTATAAACTACAGCCAATTTTGTTTACCCAATTTACTTATAATGCATGTCTTTGGACTGTGGGGAAAACCAGAGCACCCGGGCAACATGCAAACTCCACCCGGGACTCGAACTAGCGACCTTCTTCCTGTGAGGCGACAGTAATAACCACTAAGCCACCATGCCGCCCTCTCCTACTTCTTAAAAGGACATAATGCAGTATTTATTACAAATTAATCAATTAATTTACCCTTAAAGTCCACATGAACCGGAAGGTACTCAGACTTTTCAGTATGTTGATGTCATTTCATGTGAAATGGAATATAAAGTAGGGGGCGGGGCTTTCTTTTTGTGAACCTTCCACTCATAGCAAACCTACAGTAACAGGGGCGGGGTTAAGAATAATAATATGCAGTTGCTATGGACCACCCCCCCAAAGGCAGAAAGAAACGGTTGGTTTTTGATATAAGATTACCAAAACAAACAACTTTTTTTTAGGAGCATTGTGTAATTTTTTTGCACATGATTATTGTCAGATTCACCTTTGAGATGTCTTGGCCATCGATCTTTATACACCCGCCTTGAACATCATAAAAGCGGAAGAGCAGACGGATGATGGTGCTTTTTCCTGATCCAGACTGACCCACCTAAAAGAGGTTACACATTACACAGCAGAGAGAAAAAAAACAAAACATGAACATTTTAACCTGAAACTCTCATGAGAATCTAACTAAATGATTAATGCAAGATAAAACTGCAAGTGACTTACAAGAGCAACTGTTTGTCCTGGGAGAACGGTAAAAGAGACATCTTTCAGAATCTCCTTGCTGCAAAAGAAATAAGTATTAAATAAAACTGGAACAATATTAAATAATATTGCTAAAACCTGCAGATTAATAATAATAATTGCGGTGGCTCAGTGGTTAGCATTGCAGCCTCACAGCACGTAGGTCGCTGGTTCGAGTCCCAGCTGGCCCAGTTGGCATTACTGTTTGGAGTTTGCATGTTCTCTCCATGTTGGCGTGGGTTTCCTCCGGGTGCTCCGGTGTCCCCCACAGTCCAAACACATGCACTATAGGTGAATTGGGTAAACTAAATTGACCTTGGTGTATAAGTGTGTGGGTGTGTGTGTGTGTGTGAGAGAGTGAGAATGAGTGTATGGGTGTTTCCCTGCACTGGGTTGTGGCTGGAAGGGCATTCGCTATGTAAAGCATATGCCGGAATAGTTGCCGGTTCATTCCTTTGTGGTGACTCTTGAAAAATAAGGCACTAAGCCAAAGGAAAATGAATGAATGAGTAGATAATAATAATAATATGACTGAAAGTACTTACCCTTGTGTGTAGCTGAAGAAGACGTTCTCAAACTCTACTTTCCCCTGTCTGAAATAAAGGTTTCCTGCATTGACTTCATCCTTCACCTAAATCAATGGATGGTGTCGTTAATTATTCATAATCATCTGTGCGGTGAATTTCAATGTAAACAAAGCAAAACAATATTCACCTCTTCTTCCTCGGTGAAGAGCTTGAACATGCTTTCCATATCGATGAAGGAGTTCTGGATCATTCTGTCCAAGAAATATTATGTTCGTTGTCACTTCTTTAAATATACATACATTTTGTAATGAACACACGAATGATGGACTATAAATTAAGAGTAAAAAGCTCCACACCGGTAGTAAGTTCCAAACCAGTTGAGAGGAGTGTAGAGCTGGATGATGTACGTTCCAAACAGCACATAATCTCCAACCTAAAAGACCATAAAAAAAATCACAATAGAGACCAATTACTACAGGATTTGATTGCTCCAAATAGCCAATCCCCCATAGTTATACTTTTTATTTTGATTATACATGAGCGATTCTAGAATTGCAGGTATATTTTGTGTCTCCATGATTTACCAACTATTACTTTTGTAATTGAAACAGTAAACAATGAAACAGTATTTTATAACATTGACAATTACTTTGCTGTTACTCTTGATCAATTTAACATGTCCATACTGACAAAAAGTGGTTTGATATTTGAGGTTTCCTTGACTGTTCATACCTGAAATTTTCCCTCAGTCACAAAATACGCACAAAGCAGAGATCCAGTCAGCAAACCCAAACCAATGATGAGGTTCTGTGTTTGATTTAAGAGCGCCAGAGATGCATTGGTCTTCCACTCCGATACCTGATCAAAAAAAGAAGATATTTATGATTCATTACTGTGGTCTATTACAGGGTTCCAACACGTAAATGAACTTTTTAAGACCATTATGAATGAAATTTCAGACTTATACAGGGCTAAACGCTAAATATTTGTTCTAATGGTCTGGTCTAACCCATCTAAAAAATATATGAATAATTTTGTTATTAGCCAAATATTTTAAATAATGTGTCAAAACCGAGCGGCAACATCTCGATCTCCCTTGTAAAACCAATATGGAAGTAACTAAAACTGTAGTTCATCGACTGGCCTTTAGGGGCTGGCTCCAGAAACTCTAGATGTTCACTGACTGCCATGCTAAATTGGCCAATTGTACAGCTGATAAAAACATGTTCACAGCCAGCTACAAAAGATGGTTTTGGTGTATATAGCTAATATTACCCTTCATGACAACTATGAGAGGGTGAATATTTTAACAACGCATTCATTTCATTTATATAAGGTCTGCATAAATAAGGAAATGGTCACTTGAGTGAGAGCTAGGTCTAGTTGCTCGCCATCATGTGACCTCAGCTGATTCCAGCTGATTAGCCGCTGAACTCTGCATATATATATATATATATATATATAAAATTTTTTACACATATTTTTGTTTTATTGTATGTGGGTTTACAGAGTTAATTGCCTTTTGGGATTATTTTCTACACTTATAAGATAATAAGGCATGCTATGCTTTTAATTGTTTTCACACACCATTCACGTGGCCTCCATTTCCCAGGTGAAATTATTATATACTTTCATTTATAATTATATTTGTTTTAAGGTCATTTATCTATTATGTATCATTTTATTTGGAACATTTATGCACTCCAGAATCTGATAGCCTGACTAGCTGTAGGCTTTACAGGAGTCATCTGAAACGTTGTCATACAGTGTTCTGCCTAGATTTCATAAATAGCCTTGCCTTAACTAACACAGACTATATTTGAAGTGTTTGGATGTAATTCGCGTTTCCCTCCTTTAGAAAAACCTCATGAGAACAATGCTTAGTGGCTCAATGTATTACAACAGTGTTTTTAAGAGAGTAAACACAATTTACCCAAACATAAACGAGCCACAGGTAATGAAATGTTAAGCGTTGTTCCCAAAAAAAAAACCCATCTAAGCAAAATGCTAGCAGGCATCTCTGGCCCTGCTCATGCCCCGCCCCACGAACAAAATGGTGATGGTTGGCCACGCCCACTTGTAGCTTCATTTGCGCTCTTTAGAAACCTATGGGTGACGTCACGGATACTACATCTGTATTTGTTTACAGACAAGTAAAATCAAGCAAACTCTAACTGTATATATAAACACATTTTGTCAAAATTTTAACATGTTTTAAAAAAATATAATAAAGTAAACGTTCTCACAACAGCCTGTAAAGGTCAGTGTACCTTACCAGGTATCTATAAACACAACTTTCTATACATTTTATAGTACGGAAGATAATTAAACCATATTGGGTAAATAGAATTAATGAATAAAACATTTGTTAAAAGTTTTATTGAAATGGATTGTTGGGTGTTGGCCAAATTGGGTAACTTTTCATAGACATAGAAAAATTAAGACCTGTTAAAAATGATTTATGACCTACAACACAATATTTCAAGAAATTTAAGACTTTAAGACACCCTGTATTAGACATTACAAAGCTAATTAACTATAAAACACAACCAATTTGGTACCTAAAAACACTTTACCTGGTATTTCAGGATGGCGTCCTCAAAGCGGCCCACTTCGTAACTTTCTGCATTGTAATATTTCACCTGTTGATAATATCATAACACAATGCCATCATATTCTGTGCATTATACATTACATTGCATTTGTAACACACATTCTTACACCTTAACCAAACAAAGAGAAGCCCTACCGTCTCAAAGTTCAATAAAGAATCCACAGCTTTGGATTTGGCGTTGTTATCTTGTGTGTTCATATCACGCCTGTATTTGGTTCTCCATTCAGTGATAAAGATGGTGAGAGCTGTCGGAGACACGGATAAAAGAGCAGTCAATAAATAAAAAGCTGATCTGCTACATTTGCATCATTCTTTCCTTCTTTAGCTCTACTGTAGAGTTTGGCTATGTGAACAAATGGACAATTCTAGAATTTCACTTTAATGTTACTTCATTTTGATTCCTTTTGTTATATGTGTTTTTGTAAAGCATGTTATAATTTATATTTACCTATTTTTATTGAAATTAAAATTTTTGTTATGTTAATACTGAAACTTATTTTTAATTTTTGAAGTTTACCTAATTAATTTCTTTTATATTTGATTTGATTTATTTTCCAATTGCTGAAAAGTTTTTTTTAATATATTGTTTTAGTTAAACTATTATGCAAAAATCACTTTTATAAAGGGTTTAAACACAATTGAGTGGCAACATTCTGTGAATATAACCAGCTTCTAATGGCAAAGATTTATTAACTCTATGTTTATATAATCACACTTGATAAAAACAGTCAGCAGAAACACTTTGATTGACAGTCTCCCTTTGTACATGTCATCAGAGGGGGAAAGCCCCGCCCACTAATGACAATCTCTCCCTCATTAGCATAGGACATTAATCTTGTTTTTTTTAATCTGCCACTATGCTGACACATAGGCGTTTGTAGCTCCGCCCTCTTTTGAAAACAGCGCAATCTCATTTGAATTTAAAGCGACAGTCACCAAAATGGCACAAATTAGGATTAAAGCCTAAAATGGGTAGTTTTAAAGAGTTCTAAAACATAATTTGTGGGTTATTTTGAGCTGAAACTTCACACACACACACACACACACACACACACACACTCTAGGGACATTAGGGACAGATTAGGGACATAGACTTATTTTACATCTTGTAAAAAGGGGCATAATAGTTCCCCTTTAGCAATAAATACACTTGACAGCACCAAAAATACAGTAGGTAATGCAGCATATATAGTATATACAGCACATAATGCTATTGTTAAATCTTAAACAGTCAGCATTACTCAAACCACCAACCAGCTAGTCAAGGCCTACAGGTTTAACTTGAAATTTAAGAGTTGAAAATGTTGAAACAAACCTCAGGACGTCATATCTTTGAATAATTACAATAAGTCCCTCTACATAGTTATTGTTCTAATCATATAGTTCAAGATCATTGACATTGTTCTTAGTCTAGAGGTTTTACTTTTAATATTTAACTCTATCCCAAATGAAAAGGAACAAAAAGTGCAGTGTTTTCAGTAAACAGTGAATGCTGTCCAACTTTTAAAGGCTATGTTGATATATACACACATTATGCACGTATACAGATTTAGAAATGACCATTGTTAAATACTCACTGAGGTAGAGAGCCATGCATACAAAGACTATAAGGCCAAACCAGGCATTGAAATTGGATATGAAATAGACGATGGCGATGACAATGTCAGCGATGGTGGGGAAGATGCTGAACACGATGTAGCTGTTGGGAAAAAAATAAAGAAAGAAAAATTATTTCAGGGAAACACACATACTGTTATATGTAGTCTATGGTTTATATACATCGCTTATGTACAATGATACTAAAGCATCCAAGACTAAAATTGCACACAGACCTACATTACTGATCAAAAGTTTGAGATCAGTAAGAATTTAAGTTTTTAAAGAAGGCTAGATTATTTGGGTTGGGTGGGGTTGGGGTCTCTCCACACCCACATCAGTGTGTAGCATGGATAATGTGATGGCAGCCACAGGACAACGGCGCCAGTGGACTCACCACACACCAGCTATTGGTGGAGTGGAAACACAGTGATAAAGGCTATTCGTTGGATTGGGATGATTGGGAGGCCATGATGGGTAAGGACCGATGGAGGGAATTTGGCCAGGACACTGGGGTTACACGACTAATCTTGACGAGAAATGCCATGGGATTTTTAAAGACCACAGAAAGTCAGGACCTCGGTCAGAGTGTCCCATCCAAATGACAGACAGAAAATATTAACAATAATAAATAATAATAATAATGAATAAAAAAAATATTTGTAAAATATTTATTTTATTATATATAAAAATATATATATAAATATATAAATAAATATATATTTACACATAAAAAATATATATATAATTTAATAAATAAATATATATATATATATATATATATATATATATATATATATATATATATATATATATATATATATATATATATGCATACTTTGACTTGGATGCTATTAATCGAGATTGTTTGACAGCACTATTATAGAGTAAAACAGATTTTATTTCAAATAAATTAAGTTATTTTGAACTTTCTTTTCATCCTACAATCCTTAAAATGTAACAAATTATGAAAAACTCCCAACAGAAAATTTTAAGAATCATTAATAATGATTGAGTACCAAAAATAAGCGATTATAATAGAACAGTAAATCTCAGCATATAGTAATGATTTCTGAATAATCATATGACAAAGAAACCTTGAGTCGAGATGCTGCAAATTCAGCTTAAAAAAACACAAAAATAAATGTTAAACACTAATACTATTATAAAATTTGACCTTTTTTGCTGTAATTTTGATCTACTGTATAATAAATGCGCAGGTTAAATTAACTTTAGTTATATCTGCATACACAAACCAACAGCTCAAGATAAAAGTAAGATTACCCCCGTTTATTTTTACCCCAATTTCTGTTTAACAGAGAGATTTGTTTCAACACATTTTTAAACATAAGTTTGTTCTGTAGACTATAGAAAAAAAATGCTTAAAGGGCTAATAATATTGATTTTAAAATGGTTTTTAAAAAATAAAAAACTGCTTTTATTCTAGCCGAAATAAGACTTTCTCCAGAATAAAAAACTATTATCAGACATACTGTGAAAAATTTCTTGCTCTGTTAAACATCATTTGCGAAATATTTGAAAAAGAAAAACTTCACAAAAGGGCGAATCATTTTGACTTCAACTGTAAGTCAGTCTGTGTTAATAAGCCAAAATAATTATGTCTATTTCAAACAGTTGTTGTCTCTGACCTGAGCAGGCTGTTGATGGAGGATGTTCCTCTGTCGATGCTCCTCAGGACGTCTCCTGTCCGGCGGCCCAGATGCCAGCGCAGAGATAGAGCATGCAGATGAGCGAAGAGCCGCACCTGCACCACGCGGTTAGTGTACTGCTGCACGCGAATCCACAGGAACGAACGCAAGTTACTCACAAACCCAGACGCACCTGCACATGGAGACAGATGGAGACGAGACGGTAATCAAAATGCACATCAAGCTTTTTTAGATATGGATAAACTTATGAGGTTTCCTCACCAGCTCCACCTCCCTGCAGGAACTTCAGGAGACAATAAACACACACCGTCATGGCCAGAGTCTTCCAGGAGCTCCCGTCTGTCAGCTGGTTCACTGTGAAATTATAGTGCAAAACATTATTACATTGTGTTTATGTACAGTTGAAGTCAAAATTATTCGCCCTTTTGTGAAGTTTTTCTTTTTTAAATATTTCTCAAATAATTTTGAACAGAGCAAGGAAATTTTTACAGTATTTCCTATAATATTTTTTCTTCTGGAAAAAGTCTTATTAGTTTTATTTAGGCTAGAATAAAAGCAGTTATTAATTTTTTTAAAACCATTTTAGGTCAATATAGTTAGCCCCCTTTAGCAATATATATTTTTTCAATATCCTACAAAACAAACTCTATCAACAACAACAAACAAACAAAATCATTAAACTACGACTTGCCTAATTACCCTAACCTGCCTAATTAACCTAATAAAGCTTTTAAATTGCACTTTAAGCTGACTATTTTGTTTTAATGAACAAAGATCTTATTATTATAACATAATTGAGCTGAATAATAAATAATACTTCATGTATATATTTTCGAGCATGTTTTTACTCATTTTTCAAGTAAACAATACCCTTTTTAAACGTAATTTGAGTTACGACATCAGCATTTGGTGCAATAACCCCAATTGTTAATAATAAAAACATTTGTTATTCTAACAAAAAAAAAAAAGATATTAAGTTTGTACAGAATGATTTATTCTTCACGTATGAGCCGGTGCTAGGGATGCTCATTTTGGTTAATTTTGCCAACCGACAACCGCCGATCGTTTACCAATTAACAGTTAATGGGTCAGATTAATATTAAATTGTTATTTAGTAAAAAAAAAATATTGTATGTGTCTATTTTGTGTCTGACGCATTAAATATTGCATTTTAAAATACTGACTTATTTTAACATGCGAACAGCAGCATACAGAACATAACAGAGCATCTTCACGCACCAGCATAGATATAAAGAATGAACTAAATTAAAAACAAAATAGTCCTGCCATGGATATTTTTCACTTAAATGACAAATTTAGATCACAAAACGAAACACTGACTGTATCCTATTTAAGATTCAGCACAGGACGTGTTTTCCATTCATGTTTTTTTTTCTTCCGTCAAATAAAAATATCAGGCTACCTCAAATAGATAGATCCACGGAAAATATGCATTTAATTAATGCTCAGCTGTTATTATTATATCACAAAACCTCTGTCAACATTTTTAATAAACTGACAAAATGCCAGGTCTTAATTTGTGCCAGCACTCTCTGAAATCTGGCACCTAATTTTACGGATCCCGCTCCTCAATGTACTTCCTCCCCTGTCCACTGTTCACTTTCCTTTGCGACTCCCCAAACCTCTTCACTTTCGTTCATGACAACACCCCCCCCCCCCCCCCCCCGTTTTTTTACATTCAACAGCGACACCCCTCTGCCATTAAACAACCAACGTAACTATAGCAAAACTTATGCGTTTTAAAACGAAAACACATTAGTGTAAACCCGGCCTGAGACAGAGTCGTCCAGTCTATTATGCGTTTTAGAAAGGGGCAGAGTTTGTAGGTGGAAACATAGATCATGGGCATGACTAGTTTTAGTCAAAGATCTTGTTTTAGGGTCTTGAATAGATGCTGAGGTTTTACCTGTCCTGACCAGCTTGAAAGTATCACTCAAAAACAAAGGCACAGTCAATGGGACCCCTGCCTTTAGCATTTGCATCAATTTGGCTCAGCCCATGCTCAGGAAGCAAGAGGTTTTATTGTCACATTCTAGCAAGAGTTTTGGATAATATGAGATCCAAAGAATATAACTTTTCAGTTACATATAGATTATTGGTAATTTTAAACTCGATTATATAAATTTATAATCCCACACCGTGCAAATCGGAGCAAGGATGCTATATGAGACCAAGCAATTTCCTCTTGTTCTGTACCTATGTTCTTGTAGTAGATGGGCACAAACACATTGATGGCGCGCTCGATTCCCAGCATCCCGAGACACATCAGAACCAGCAGCTGGAGCAGGACACTTCCTTTAGGCCACATGTATGGCACCAACAAACGCACCTTCTTGCCAAAGTCTTTCCATGTAGACTGATCCTCATCAGAATTACCCAACAGGGGCTGAAAAGAATGTATTAAAAATGTATCAAGAGCTCAAGATTATTAAAGATATATTAGTGGTACAGATTTGAGAGTGGATCTAATGTCGTACCGCTCCATGCTCCACGTCTCGCTCGTCTTCATTGACCAGAAGCATGTACGGCCGGCGGGGCAAACCTGGAGCTTTGAGGCCTAACAGGAACAGCAAACCTGAGCAGAAGTATCGCACCAGCCAGAATGCAAACTCCATCTGCAGAGATAAAGTCACAGTAATATTATATACAGTTGATGTCAGAGCCCCCGAATTTCTGTTTAATGGAGAGATTTATTCAACACACATCTAAACAATCAATTTAATAACTTATTTCTAAAAACTTATTTATCTTATTAACTTATAAATATTTTATATTTGCCATGATGACAGTAAATAATATTTTACTAGATATTTTTTTAAGATTCTAGTATTTAGCTTAAAGTGACATTTAAAGGCTCAACTAGGTTAATTAGGCAAGTTAACAAAGAAACAAACAAATATTGCTTAAGGGGGCTAAGAGTATTGATAATATTGCAGACTAACATGGCACATTGCCCATCATAGATCAAATTATATAATCACTATTAAAATGTTTAAACGACATAATGCGGTGAAACCGAGATGCTTTGTTGAGTTGATCAAATAAGGGCCACAAAATATACCTTTCAGCATCGATATCGCAATGTGTGCGTCCACAATAGTCACATGATCGCAGGATATGCAATAGCTGAGGGTTTGTTCTGTAGACAATTGAAAAAACATTGCTTAAGGGGGCTAGTAATTTTGACCTTAAAATGGTCTTTAAAATATTAAAACTGCTTTTATTCTAGCTGAAATAAAACAAGTAAGACTTTCTCCATAGGAAAAAAATATTTACAGACATACTGTGAAAATTTCTTGCTCTGGTAAACATCATTTGGGACATATTTAAAAAATAAAAAATAAATTAATTCACAGGAGGACGTGGGAATTTACATTTATATAATCTACTTCCAAATTAGCAATAATCTATATCTGAAAAGTTATATAATTAGCTAATGTCATTCAGAACTGTAGCTAGGGTGTGACAGACCTTAAACTCTTGGTATCCTGAGCACTGGCTGTGCCAAAGTGATGCAAATGCTATGGGCAGGGTCTTAACGACGGTGCCTTTGTCTTCGGGTTTTTGGGTGATAATCCCTTTTGTTGATAAACTTGTGATGTCAGTGGCTTGGCAAGTATATTCACCTACCTACCTACCTACTTCATTTACTTACTTTGTTTAGCCCTCTCCACCTATCCACTCCCCTCCTCCTAAAAACATAATATGGACTCATTTTAGACCTGTGATAAAACTTGCAGACTGCAAACTTGTAAGAGACTCCGTTTAGGCTCTTGCAAACTCGTGGACCTCTTGAAAGCGCTGTATGACTGCAGAACAACCAACACGTCTCAATAACATATTTCAGCTTGTTTCGAGTCTCCTGGACTGAGCTTTCCAGGTTTAAAATTTACGTTTGGTTTGGGTCTCGGAAAGGGGTGTCGCAAAATGACTCGACAGCGCCACCTAGAAAATTTAAACGGACGAGCCCCCGATCCACGAATCACGCACATACACGAAAATTGGCACACACCTCAAACACACCAAAACATACGAAAAAGTCTCTTGGAGCCATATCTCAAACCCAACAGGAAGTCGGATATTTTTGACTTCCTGCGGCGAAAAAGTGGCGTTTTTGCCATTATGCCTCCAGACCTGAACACGAGTCCAGACCTGAACACGTTTATATGCTGATATCCAGATAGAGTTATAGCGCCACCTGCTGGTCAGAGGAAATGACATGATTTACAGTGTAATAAACTCCTCCCACAAATTTTATCGTATCAGCACCAAATTAGGGTGGTGTTATCTGAAAGCTCTAGCGATGATATATTGTGAAGATCTAGAGTTTTCGCAGAGGGGCGTGTCCGTGGCGGCATGACAAACCTCAATGCTTCGCCATGGAACAGGAAATCCTTATAACTCAACCACATAATGTCCGATCTGCCTGAAACTTCACAAGGTTGATAAAAGTCCTCTCCTGAACACATCTTTATAACAATATTGAAGTGGGCGTGGCTAAATGACTCGACAGCGCCACCTACCAAACCTAATCGGACGAGCCCCTGATATACAAATCACGCACATGCACAAAAATTGGCACACACCTCAAACACGCCAAAACATACGAAAAAGTCTATTGGAGCCATATCTCAAACCCAACAGGAAGTCGGTTATTTTTAACGTCCTGCGGCGAAAAAGTGGCATTTTTGACATTTCCAGGCGTTGTATTTTAACGAACTCCTCCTAGGGATTTTATCCGATCAACACCAAAATTTGGTTTTGTCATCTAAAGGCCTTGGCGATGTTAAATTGCAAAGCTTTAGAGTTTTCATCGATGGGCGTGTCCGTGGCGGCCTTGCAAACTTTGACGATTCGCCACAAAACAGGAAGTCGTTATAACTCAGGCATGCATTATCTGATCTGCCTCAAATTTCACACATTTCATAACAGTCTGGACCTGAATACGTTTATATGCTGATATCCAGATAGAGTTATAGCGCCACCTGCTGGCCACAGGAAATGACATGTTTTACATTGTAATATACTCCTTCCGCAAACTTTATTATATCAGCACCAAATTTGAGTGATGTTATTTGAACGCTCTAGCGATGATATATCGTAAAGATCTAGAGTTTTTGCAGAGGGGCGTGTCCGTGGCGGCATAACAAACCTCAACGTTTCGCCATGGAACAGGAAATGCTTATAACTCAACCACACAATGTCCGATCTGCCTGAAACTTCCCAAGGTTGATCATAGTCCTCTCCTGAACACATCCACATAACAATATTGAGTCTGTCATAGCGCCACCTGCTGGCAGAAGGTAGTTTGGCTTGTAACTCGGCCCCACAATGTCCGATCTGCCTAAAACTTCACATGGTTGATGAAAGTCCTCTCCTAAGCACATCTACATAATTATATTGAGTCTGTCATAGCGCCACCTCCTGGCAGAAGATAGTTTAGCTTAACTCAGTCACACAAAGTCTGACCAGCCTGAAAATTTACATGGTTGATTAAAATCCTCTTCTGAAGACATCTACATGCCAATATCGAGTCACAGTCATAGCGCCACCTGCTGGCAACAGGAAATTACATATAACTCAGCTAAACAATGTCCGATCTGGCTAAAAATTCACATGGTTGATAAGATTCCTCTACTGAAGGCATCTACATGCAAATCTTGAGTCACAGTCATAGAGCCACCTGCTGACAAGAGGAAGTTTGGCATGAATGTTCGATTTTCTCAGGTTCTTTATATATATCGGCTTAAATTATTATTGTTCGCTGTTCTCTGTCATCCTGAGGCCACTGGGCGGCGGTGAGCCCGGGTGCGAGGTCCCTATCATCGCTGCTTGCAGCTTTAATTCTTTAATTATTTTTTTCCCAACAAGGCCAAATCACAGTGTATATTAAGAGAATAAGTTCTGTCATTTTCAGAAATGTCTTTTTTTATTTAAATTTTTAGATGTTCATTTTTAGATGTTTTAACTCTAGTTGAGTTAACCAATAAGAAACCAATAATTGATGTACTAAGCCCGATTTTCAGCTAATTAAATCCACAAAAAAGCTCTAAATAATATTATTTATATTTGAAATTGTGAAGAAATTTTATCAAAGCTTTATAGATTTAATCAAATATCAACTATTTACTCAAACCCATATATAATGGACCAGTAAATCCAGAGAAACTCGGTTATTTATTTATTTATGTAAAACCATATTGTATATGAAATAAAAAATAATTAGGATTTATCTTTTGTAAATGTGCTTAAACCTTTAATACGTTATCATATAAATATTGTAATTATTGTAATTCTACCAACAAATTTTAATTTAATTAAGTTTTATAATATTATATTTAAATGTAACCATGTTAAAATATATTATTATTATTATTATTATTATTATTATTTAAACAACCCATGCAGATACACTGAATAAATTGTAATCAAATCCATATAATAGAATTTAAGTTATAAAAAAAAAGGTTTGAAACAAAAAAAAAATCCTTTTTTGATATTTTATTGCAGCAATTTATAAAGTAAAATAAGTTATATTTACGTGTTTTACTCAAACACGTAGCTCCAAACTGTGAATCCAGAGAATTCAATAAATTTTCTCATATTGTTGTAAAAATGCTGCATTATTTACGTTAATTATTTTTGTTAATTTATATTTAGATTAGGTCTGGCAAAATTGTTGGCTTCTTTTATAAAATATATTCAACTAGCAAGACCTGAATGAGTAGAGTAAAACTGCCATGTCATGAAGAGTCAGAAAACCTGTTATCTGATTGGTCAAACTCAAACAGTTGGGGTGTGGCCAGTGTGGGCAGAAAGGAATTCAGCTAAATCTAACAATGACCAGCAATATTTACTCATGCTACTGCCTACTATACAAGGACAGACAGGGATTCAACAATATTGTTTTAATGACCGTAAAACTTTACAGAATTGCAGAGTCATTCAGCATTGCTAAACTACTGTATCAGCAATATATATTATAAACAATCCTTTTAAGAAATAACCATAATGCTGAGTCATGGTGTGTGAGCGGCTTTGCTAATACTACATGACAAACTGCATCTGTGCTAAAGGTTATATAATGTATACATACATGCCTACCTACAGGTAAGAATCTGCAGGTCAATAGGGAATTAAACGTCATATCATTATTATTATTATTATTAATAATAATAATAATAATAATAATAATAATAATAATAATAATAATAATAATAAATAACCATAATAATTTTCTAGAGATTGATAAGGACAATAATTAATTTTTCTAAAATGTCATGTTTAAATATGCAAATGAAATATTAAAATGCACAAATATACTGTTTCAGTCTAACACTGGATAGTTCCACTCAATAATTCTTAATTTTTTTGATATAGTAGTGTTATTAATTATTTTTTTATATAGAGAGGGGATTGTGGGTATTTATTTTTATCAATTGAAAAAAAAAAATAATATTAATAATAAAAATAATAATAATAATAAATAAATAAAATGCAAATCCCCAGCAGAAAACAAATGTTCATTTTTTGTAGAATTAAATAATATATTGTAATCAGGCAATGAAACTATATAGGTTGGTTTGTTAATCTGTGCAAGTGCTTCTGAAGTGGAGATTTATTAGAGAAAAAGAGATATATTAAAAACAGAAAAAATAGAAAAAAATCCTAAAATATATTTGAAATGAAGTCTTATATATAAGAAAACTTTTTTTCCCCTTTGAACACAATATATTTATTTAAAAAAATATTACGGAGCAGTAAACATGATTGGTTAAATGATTCAAATGAATCATTGACTTGCTGTCCTCAAAAACACAGATTTCTTTACAATTTAAAACGGCATCTTTGGATATTTTTTTCTGCTGGAGATACTGTTGTCCTAAAAAAAAAAAAAAAAAAAAAAAAAAAAAAAGCAAATAAAAAACGGAAAAAAAGGAACGGTATTACAAAAAAAATTGTTTTAAAAAACCTTGATTTTTCCAAACCGCGGTATACCTTGAAAAGGGTTATGGTTAATATTTTGATAATCTGCATTATAGATTGCTCTATGAATAAAGAACTTCTCATTTTAGATTGATTGAGATGATTCTGTAGGGGAGTGCATCATGCATAAAATACAATTAACAGTCTACAAGCATAGATAAATACATTAAAGAAAAAGATACAAATGAAATATTCAGGCACAGTAATTGAATAATCAAATGTAAAGTAATACATTTCTTTGTTGTTTAAACAATTCAGTAAAATTTAGGCACAGGCCTCAAAAACACACGACGCAAATGATGTCCTGCGATGTGACATTGCAATATTGATGCTGAAACAATATATTGTGCAGCCCTACTTGAAAGTGTATTTTGTTTACATTATACTAAAAAAAACTCTAAGTATTCTTCCTAATGGTCCCTTTTCACAAAACCGTTATGACCTGTTTAATGCTCATCATAATCTTAAATCCTTAAATGTTTTTAATCTTTAGTTTTCTTTTTAAGTGTATGTACTTTTATAAGTACATATGAATTTGAGGTTGTTTTCTCTTCTTTTCTTCCTTTTTTTTCATTTTTCTGAAAGTCTTGATAAAAACAATGTAGAGTTTTATTATTTCAGCAAATAGGATCATAAAAATGATTTGTCGTACTCTCCTATTTACTGCGCTCTAGTGTACCCAACTACAGGGCCTTTTGCTACCAGCAAGCGTACCTGTTGCTCGGACGTCTCCAGACTCCACCACCACTGAGGGCTCATCCAGGACACAAATGCCAGATTATCGGCTGCGAAAGCTACTGCCCAGTACAGCAACAGTACAGTACTGTGTCCTCTGGTTCTGTCCCGCACCAGAACCTTCCTTCTCTCCAGACGCAGCAAAACTACAGCCCAAATCCAGCCCAGCATGGAGAGACATCCATACAAAACCACATATCCCGGCAGCTCCGCGCTCCAGCTCAGCCGAAACACCATCCAGCCCAGAGCCTGCAGGATCAGTAGCACCGACAGCCCCACCTGCAGCCGGTACAGTCCAGAGCGGGGGACGAATTTGGGCTCCATGTCTGTGCCATAGCGGCTGTACCAAATACACAGCAGTGTGCCGAAGAGGAAGAGGAGGGTGAGGAGGACGGATGGCACCAGGGTGAAGTAGAAACACAGAGTCAGGCCGCCCTCCACCCAGACCTGCTGCATGGAGACGCCAGCCTCACAGAAACTCTTCATCTCCACCATGATGAAGATGATGATGGATCCACACGAAGAATATCTGGAAGAACGTTACAGCTGAAGTCAGAATTATTAGCCCTCTTTTCTTTTTCAAATATTTCCCAAATGATGTTGAACAGGGCCAGGAATTTTTCACAGTATGTCTGATAATATTTTTTCTTCTGTAGAAAGTCTTATTTGTTTTATTTCGGCTAGAATAAAAGCAATTTTTAATAATAAAAAAGCATTTTAAGGTTAATATTATCAGTCCCCTTAAGCAATTTGTTTCTCGATTGTCTACAGCAGTGGTTCTCAAACTGTGGTACGTGTACCACTAGTGGTATGTGGGCTTCCTTCTAGTGGTACGCGGATTAATAAAATATGTCATATGTACATGCTACATACATTTAAATAGATTATCAAAAATGATTTACATATGAATATGATGACATAACGCCTATATTTATGAGGTCCAGGCAACATTTCCAGGTGCTGATAAACATGGAGTTTTTTCTCTTTTTTTTTTTTACTTTTTAAGAACAGTAAGCTACCATTTTTAACTTTTAAAAGCACATTTTAATTTAAATGTTCTTAATATTAGGATCTAATATGCCTCGTTTTTGAACTGTACAGAGCTTTAGCTACTTTAATGGACCTAATACACTACTGTTTTTCAATACTACTCATTATGGTGGTACTTGCAAAGACAACTTTTTTCTGAGGTGGTACTTGATGAAAAACATTTGAGAACCACTTGTCTACAGAACAATAATATTAATTATTGGACTTATTACTAACAATTCAGGAGGGCTAATAATTCTGACGTCAACGGTATACTGTAAACTTTTGTTTTACATATTAAGAACATATTATGGCCTTTCCATAGTATTGGGATGCTAGCAAATGGCAATACCATGTTAATTTATATTCGGCATATTCACATACTATGATGTACACCCAAAAACGGGTGTTTAGTGTTTGTTTAAAGTACTTAAATTAAGCTGAAACAACATAATTCTTAAGGGTTTCTTGAGGGACAAGTCGTGCTGGGAGATAAGGCAAAGATGTAATCTCGATAATTATTTTCCATATGAAACGATAACGATATTTATTTCGATACAAGTTGTTAATGCTTTCAGATTTAAAAGAGTACCCCAACAATGACTGAAACCACAAAAATTATCTTTTTTCGTGGCCGAAAATTTGGTACATCCCTAATACCAACATACTTTTAGACTCCCATTGTTGCACATTTCTGCTCTTAGATCAATATAGAGTAAAAACATGCACTTAAAAATTAAAACATGAACTTATCACAAATTTGATCACAATTCAATATAATATCGTTTATCGGCCAAGCCCTAGGAACAGCTTATTAGTTTTTGCACATGTATATGGATTGATCATAAAACAATTAAAGTTAACTTCATTCCTTCATGTTGTCCTAACACAAATTGATTGTGTGTGACCCAGCATTTTTACAGTGTATTTACCACAAAGAAAGTACACAGAATAAAATAGAAATAAGCATGTAAATGTTGCACTTTCAGAAATAAGTATTACCGAGATACATGCTAAAAAAAACGGAGTACTTTCACAGTAAATGCAAAAAGTAATGTTGTTGTACCATAACAGTAGCACATTATGTAGTCACATTTATGAAAGCCTGAATTGTTGGTTTGTTTTGATTTCTGTTTATTGTCATCTAAAAATAACATCTTAACATTATATGTTCAAAGGAAAATCAAGCAATACCAAAGTATTAATATGGTACATGTTCAAAATGCCATCAATATCATGTACGTGCTTAACTTTATTTTTAAGATGTATTGTATTTTCTTTTGTACAGAGTACTTATATGTATATTTAAATGTAAATTTACGTCAAAAACCTTTGCTGCTGATATTTATGAGGCGGTCTTTAATTATAATACATCACATAATGCAATATGATCCATATAATACTTCACAATATTAATACTTAAAGTACGGTGGTTGTATTGGGTTTTTATTTTGCTTGACCATGGTGCCTCGTGTGGTATATAATTTATAATATAATATTATTATCAAAGTCTTTACAAGAAAGTTGTGACCAACTTACTATTGCTCGAACATGACAGTATACGCACTCTAACGTGTTAAATACTGTGCAAATGGCTCATATCAACAACTGACAGAAATAAAGGACATTCACTTCTTAACACGTGTCATTTATTAAATGTATCAGAGTAATAACCATAATATTGACACCATGTTCATAATGTGAGGTCAGTGCGATTATGAACTAACCTGTTTCCAGCGTCACCTTCAAGTCTTTCGAGTGCGTCCTTCAATAACTATCCCTTCAGATGAATTATGATTATTCCAGCGATGTTAAATCATTCAAAACGTCTGCTCATTCAAAACGTCATAAACTCACGCCGTACAACTCCATCATCCATGACTTATACAATAACACCGGGGAAAGACAAGAATCTTCATGGTCCTAGTGCTTTGTGTTTTAAAGTTGAAACGTCACGGTTACTGACGTGGGCAGTGTTACTTTTCTCAGCGCACGTATGGTTGGTCCAATCAGAGTTCGTTACGATTATTTAGTTTGATTTATAGCGGCTTATTTTTATTCTCTGTTACCTATCAAACTTTTTGATCTATTTATGCTAAATTAATATGTTTTAAGCGTATAAATATGTATATTGAACAAAACACGATCTATGATTTGAATGGGAAATTGATATTTGGTTATCTGAACCTCTCCATTGGGCACCCCCTGTGCAAATAGTATAATTTTGTACTAGTTGTTAAACCTGTACTACAAGAAGACTACAGCCAAGTATCATTTTAAAAAGGACCTCTATGGTGGGTTACAACCATGGTTACAACACCAGGACAGAGTGCACCTCATGGTCTTAAAGTATACCGGTTATTGTAATGGCTAAATTAGTAGTTGCTACATTTTCACTTACCAGCAGAGAGCACCATTATACAGAGTATGTTCACTGTGCAGTTAACACAGCCTTTTGTCAACATACTACCAAGTTTTTTTTTTCAGGTAGGCTTATGTGAAACAGTATGCATCATTACAGTTCAGATGGTAATTGTATTAGGTGCATTCTGCTTGTAGCTGATTGGACCAACTTTTTGGGTTCACAAATGACTTCATTTTCTTGTACAGATGCAAGAAAGTGCATGCTGTTAACCTTTCCTCAGAGATTTTGGTTTGTGGTTGCTTCAGATTTGTTGCTACACATCCACAATGTGAATCTCCCATCTACACTTCATCTGAAACCTGCTCTATTGGACTGAGATCTGGTGACTGAGCTGAAAACAGTATATGTTTGCTCAAACTTCTTATTTAAAATGAGCTGAAACAACACAATTTTTGTTTTTTTATTGTTTAATTGTAAAAACTAATAGGTTCACTTAATTCCCTCATGTTGTTAAAACACAAATCAATTGAATTGTGTGAAACCCAGCCTTTTTCACAGTGTGAAACTGAGATTAGTTGAGATTTGTGCTGAATTACCCTCAGAATCAGTTTTATTGCCAAGTGTGCTTCACACACACAAGGAATTTGTTTTGGCTACAGAAGCGTCCAGTGTACATAAGTGACAACACAAAATAAATATGAAAAAAGATGATAAACATTAAACGAAGATGCAGTTAGTAAAAAAAGATCTGGATGTTGAATTGTATGTACAGATTTGGTATAAATATACAGCCCTGCTGAAAAATCCAGCTAAAACCAGCCAACCATCATAGGCCAGGCTGGTTTTAGAGGAGTTTTGGCCTCTTCCAGGCTGGTTTCAAGTCATGTCCAGCCTGGTCTTAGCTGATCAGGCTGGAAAGTGACCAGCTAAAACCATCTAAAACCAGATTGACCATCCTGGTTTAAGCTGGACATAGCTGGTTTTGGCTGGACTCCCAGCCTGGCTAGGCTGGTCAAGCTGGTTTTAGCTGGTCATCTCCCACCCTGTACAGCTAAAACCAGGCTGGAAGTTGCTGGAAATCAGCCTGGAAGTGACCAAAACCCCTCTAAAACCAGGCTGGTCGACCAGCTAAAACCAGCCAACCATCCTAGGCTGCTGTGTACAATTACAATCTTAGGTGCTGTGTACAAATGTGAATGGAGAAAGTATTGCACATGGTTATTGCACAGTAGGGGAATATTTAACTGTTCATAAGGTAGATGGCCTGAGGGAAGAAACTTTTCCTGTGTCTGGCTGTTTTTGTGCTTGGTGCTCTGTAGTGCCGACCAGACAGTAACAGTTCGAACAGGATGTGTGCTGGGTGCGAGGCATCCAGAGTGATTTTGCGAGCCCTTTTACTCACTCTGGAAGAGTACAGTTCTTGAAATGTAGGTAGGGTAGTGCCAGTGCTTCATTCAGCAGTCCGGACTTGTATTCGCTGACTGTAGGGGAAACCTGAGCACCCGGAGGACACCCACGCGAACACAGGGAGAACATGCAAACTCCACACAGAAACGCCAAGTGGGTCGCCATTTAAAATTATTATTAAATATTATTAAAAACTCTAATAATTATACTTCTATCGTGATTGATAATGAGTTATTGTCAGATATACTGCACAGGTATTGTTTATGAAAACACAAACTAAAACCACAAAAACCACATTTTTCTACTATTATTTGACTGTAAATGCCGCTGTTCTGTGTGTATTTAAATGAGAAAGGTAGCCAGGAATGAAGGAGTGGATTAATGGGATAATTGAAATTGCATCATATGAATGTATGCTGGGGAGATTGAACAATGAGGGAGAAGTACATAGAAATTGGGATAATCTTTGGCAACATTTAAAGTTAGGATAATTGAGTATGCACATTCAAAGGTACCACAAACTTAATTTCCATATATGTTTGCTATAAATTGTTATTCTTTGTTGAATTTTCTTGGTGTACGTGGCTGAATATGTAACATGTATCATATGTATGTGTAGGGTGAAGTGTGTTCTTTGTTCTTGGCTGTTAAACAATAAAAAAGTTGAATTACAAAAAAAAAAGAGAAAGGTAAACCCTCCCATATAAAGATAACAAAGGTCTGCTGTCAGAGAGCGAGACGAGCCTGTCAGAGCTCATAATTAACCCCCTTAATGAAGACCCCCGCCAACAATCTACCGTTCATAATGGAGGAGGAGATTTAATTACCTTCGTGCTGCAGCCCAACTTCCAGACACTCAGGAAACTATTAAGTTGCTGTTATTCTGTGTAATGGACCTGAGTCTGGGCTTCACTGACCTCCACTATTAATATGATGACTTCACTTCAGCGGCTTCAGGAAATCATGTGTCTGTGAAACGAAGGAACACAGAGGTCATTTCGGTGGCTAATGCTGGATTCTGAGGTGATGATGAGGTATGGCTGATCAAGGGGAAAATTGTCCGCTTAGTATCTTAATATTTATGTCATTTAAGTCTGCGGGAACAGGAAGTTGCTTTTATTTTCAGTATGGAGAAAAGTCCTTACCCCAGGTGGAGGAGTTCAAGTATCTCGGGGTTTTGTTCACGAACGAGGGAAGGTGGGAACCTGAGATTGACAGGCAGATTGGTGCAGCGGCAGCAGTAATGCGGTTGATGTACTGGTCCGTTGTGTTAAAGAAGGAGCTGGGCCGACAGGCAAAGCTTTCGATGTACCGGTCAATCTACGTTCCTACTCTCACCTATGGGCATGAGCTTTGGGTCATGACCGAAAGGACAAGATCTCGGATACAAGCAGCCGAAATGAGTTTTCTTCGAAGGGAGGCAGGGCGCACCCTTATAGATAGGGTGAGGAGCTCTGACACCTGGAACACCCAGCCGCTGCTCCTCCACATCGAGAGAAGTCAGCTGAGGTGGCTCGAGCATCTGTTTCGGATGCCTCCAGGACGCCTACCTAGGGAGATATTCCAGGCATGTCTCACCGGGAGGAGGACTCGGGGAAGACCTGAGGACACTCCTATGCTGGAGGGACTATGTCTCTTGGCTGGCCTGTGAATGCCTCAGGATCCTCTCGGAAGAGCTAGAGGAAGTGTCTGGGGAGAGGGAAGTCTGGGGTTCTCTCTTAAGACTGTTGCCCCCGCAACCGGGCCCCAAAAAATCAGCAGAAAATGAATGAATGAATGAATGAATGTTGATGTACTTTCAAGTTCCAAAGTGCAACTGAAAAGGAATATTAAGTAGTAGATCTTGCATATCATTCCCTCATACGCTTATTTCCAAGTCTGCCACCATTTTAAAACACGAAAGCGAGGCTGTGGTGGGAAGAAACATGGAAGTGTAGGATCAGCACTGTAAACATTGACACAACATGCCGTTGACTACAAACCTCTATAGCTGTTGCCGCGATTTCAAAATGTAGATATGGTGTAAACATCACTTTAATATACATCACTTATAACACACACAGCAATCTCAGATCAGTTCATCCAGACCTTTTGAATATGATTCGTGAACTTGTTTGAAGAACCAAATTAGCCAGAGATCAGTTATGAAGATGAACAGATCCAGCATCTGCCGAATCATCTTAGATCATTTAAGCGAGGTATGAAGAACAGACCCCAGATATCTTCTTGTATTGTTTATAGACAAAGACATACGATTTTATTTTTACCAGAACATTTGCTAATTCATCTCATCTGTCTTGTAGTAATGATTTCCCCCTCTCTCTCTCTGGATTTGGGCATTTGGAGAGCAGTAAACAGCTGCACCATAAAACATGTGGTTTATTACTGGTTACTGGGTCACTGCGAGTCAATGGACATGTTTGTAAAACACAGGAATATAACAGCACATCATCTGCTGCAAACACACCATTACGCTTCTGCGGCCCACTTCATATTAATAAACTCTCCTATTGCTTTTATGGCCAATTTAATTACGTCTATTTATCTTCCTGTTCCCATGAGCATGTGCACAGACACAGTCCACTTCACCAAACACAAGACACACACCATAAACCTCAGTTCACCAAAATACGAAAGACAATTTTATGCAAGAGATTCTGTATTAATCTGACTGCAGAACAGAAATAAAACTTGGATAAAAGTATACAGGTTTAATACAGTAGTACTGCAGTCAAACAGAATAAAAGGATATTCAAAGTGCCTGTTATTGCTAAAAAGAACAAAATATGTAGAGATAAAGAAAGATAGAAGAGAGATATATAGAGACATAGCAATATACAATGATATATTCATTCATTTTCTTGTCAGCTTAGTCCCTTTATCAATTGCGGGTTGCCACAGTGGAATGAACTGCCAACTTATCCAGCACGTTTTTATGCAGCGGATGCCCTTCCAGCCACAACCCATCTCTGGGAAAACAATGATAGGTAGGATAGATAGATAGATAGATTGATAGATAGATAGATAGATAGATAGATAGATAGATAGATAGATAGATAGATAGATAGATAGATAGATAGATAGATAGATAGATAGATAGATAGATAGATAGATAGATAGATAGATAGATAGATAGATAGATAGATAGGAGAAATAGAGGGATA